CCCTGTGCCTCCGTCGACTCGTCTGTAAGATGTGGGAAGTGGTGCCTGTCCTGCCTGTGGCACAGGGAAGATGTGATAAATGGCCATTTGAACCAGTCATGGCATCACTTGAGAATTTGGATAGGCAAACCTTTTTTTTTTTTTAACCTGTAATTATCAAATGCTGCTGCGTATTTAAATATGACTTAACTGAGGCTTTTATTTCTTAAAATAAGTAGGAAGAGAAAACTTTCCTAAAGAAGTAGGGAATGGTGGAATTAAGGCGAATAGAGCAAACAGGCGAATCCGTAGGAAAATGTCCTGTAAGCCCTGCTGCCTCTATGCAGACGTTGGGGTTGGGGTCCTATAGATTTCCCAGCTAGGTGACTTCACCCATAATGGGTAACAAAGCCAGGAGAACATGGGTCAGACCGCTCAAATCTGCCTTCTAAATATGGCAAACAGTTCAAAGAACACTTCCTACTGAAGAGAGCATATGATCGCTATTTGTACTTCTACTCCTTTCTCTTAGAAACGTGTGCATGTGAAGTTGTTTTTATATTCTTCCAGTGAGCAGATTATCTCATTTGAGCCCTAAAACTCCTCCGTGAAGGTGGTCCCCACTATAGTCACTTTTACAGACTCCTTGCTCGGAGAAGGGGCTACAGAAATCTTTAGGCCCGAACTACTCCTTTTGTGGGGTGGGGAGGCAGACCCATGACGTCCAGGGTCTGATTCGGCCTCACTGCTGGCTAGAGCCGAGGAACTACACCCAAAACCTCCTGACCGAAACCTGCGCCCTTTTCAGTGGAACCTATGCCGATCCTAAATCTCTGAGACATGGCAGATTAAGAAACTAAAATATCAACAGCTAATCACAGTCGAGTGGTTTATTTGTACAGGATCTTCAGGCTCCTGCTCCAGGCCTCTCCGTCTCGCCCAGCTGGTTCCAGGGACAAGGAAGGTCTGGAGGCTGCGTGATTTCTAACACCCACTGACATTATCTGTGGAAGCCAGGAGTGCTGAGTACCCCGAGAAGAGTATGAACTCGAGAAGGAAGGCTGCTTTGTAGACAGGAAATACGGAGTCAACATGCAGAGGCCACCAGGAGGGTAGTGCTGTGCGGGGAACTGAGTACAGGGAGAGATGTTTCTGAGAAGCAACCGCCAGCCTTAGTGGAAGGGTGTCTGGCAGGAAAGGAGCACAGGAGTCATCTCCAGGAAAGGCCTTCACTTTTCAGCCGAGGAGAAGATGAAAGCAAAGGCTCAGGTCTTTCAGGGAAATTGGACCTCACAGTTTATCAGAGGATTTTAAGGGCAAACAGTGGCAAATGGAATGGGAAGGAAGCCGATGCCCATGGAAGCCATCTTCTCTAGTGAAGGTTAGAAGGGATTAATAAAAAAAAAAAAATACTAGAAAAAAATGAGTTTAAAAATATTTTCTTTAAGTATTATCATTAAGCTCTGGTTCCAAATTAGAATTTAAATATTGTCAGGTTTTTAAAAGAGAAAAGGTGTGTCTCTAACAGAACAACTCTCTCTCTTGGAATGTAAGGAGTGTCGTTGCAAAGCAGTCAGGTAACAATAAAGGAAACTGCAAAAGCAGCCCTTCAGTGGAGCTGAAGTTCTGTGTGAAACGTGACTTCAGGGAGAAGCAGGGGAAAAACTGACAAAAGCAGGCGGAAGAGAGGTGAAGAAGAGTTTGCAGAAGTAAATGAGTTTACTTGCTAGTGGGTGAAAAGTACCAAACCTGTCTGTGCTATCTTTGTGAGAGTATTTAGTTTTCCAAGTCATCGTATCCTGTATCAACTCCTTGATAATCAGGTGATGTGACTTCCAGGACTTTATTTTGAAGATTCCTTGACAGTTTTCAGTTATCGGTGAAAGAGAAGTCCACCTTCAGTTAGGATCTCTGTATTTCCCATGAAAAGGCTTTGTAGCACAACCAGCTGTATACAATGTGTTTAATAACTGAAATGTTTACCCTCCCCCCTTTTTTTTGGCCATAAGACCACTATTTCCAAGGAATGTATGTGGGTGATTATTACCAGTGTTTCATGTGGAACCAGAAAGATAAAATATTATAAAGGCAAAAGAAAAATTAAAGTTTGAAAACTGTTTTCAGGTCTTTGTTTCTCAGTTTATATAACCCGCTTGTCCTTGTGTCATTTCTTTCGTGCATGCTAATTAAGTGCTAAAAGTGGCCTTCAGTTAGTGCAGTAGTCAAGTAGTTTGCAAGATGTGAAGGCACAGAAACTTTCAAGAGGAGCAGTGAAGTGCAAACTAGTACCCAGAACTACAAAGCAATGTTGAGAAGTACCTCTGAAATTAAACTCATGAAGTATTTTTAAAAATTATCATCACAATTCTATACTTAGAAAAGCAATGTTTCTTTCTCCCTAAACAGGTATGTTCCTGGTAGTTAAATGTGGATGACTGGCCTAATTTCTTATAGGTGCAAGTGAGAGGGAGAAACTCAAAACTCTAAATCCTGACAGCAGGATTATTTTAAATGGGCTTTTAAATGTCCCAAAAAGTGAAAGAGTGAAAATGACACTTTCATGTTCACTGAACATTTCTTGTTCATTCGCTAGGAATAAGCAATTTTTAAAAATCATGCCATTGTATACTGAAGAGAGTTGACTTCAAAAGTTCTGGGAGGGCTTTTCCTTGCTCTCTTGGATTTGGATTCCTAGGGCCAGCCTGTGGGGACTGAGCCTGGGGCAGGAGTTGGTTAACCACCTGGTGTTGGACCCCATCAGCCGCTGTTGAAGCTGCCACTTCATGCTTTGACTTTTTGGTGAAAGATGCCAGATCTAAAAGGTGGGGGGAAGTGGGTCTCATTTATAACATATGCACTGATGGGATATTATTACAACCTTCAAAAATGTGGAAAGGTGAAAACCATTTCACCCCAAAACTCAGGTTGCTTCCTAAGAACTCAAACCTTTACTGAGCACGTACAGATCACAGGCTTTATCAGAATCACGTGTCCACTCTAGAGACACAGAAATTGTCACTTTGATCTTAGTTCTTTTGTACAGGAATACTGCATTTTGGAATCCATTTGCTAGCAAAAACCCATGTCACAAAAAATTCTGCAACTCTTAACTTGCTGCTAACTTCAATTCATGAGTAACAGTTTAAATTAGTTTTAAATTCAACAGAGCCTCTGGCCTCTGCTACAAAGATAACGCAGGAAGAGATTATTGAAGCTTCTATTTCAATGGCTTTTCCTTAAAGTGAGCACTGAAAGTATAAGTGAGTGGGTGGTTAGGAAACTGTTAGTAGTTAGTGTTGTCTCTAAAAGGCAGAACTCTGGAAATGAAAAATATCTTGGCTTCCCAGCAAAATGTTTGAATGCTGTGCCACCCAGGCACAAACTGAGCAGGACCTGCAGAGGGCCCTGAGCACTCCTTCCATGATGTGTAATTTGGAACACCATTATAATGAGACTTTCCAAAGATATCCACGAATAATTAGCTTTTTGGCATTGGTTATACTTAAAGAAAAATCTGTATAAGGTTTTAATTATACTGAGGGTCCAGTAAAAACCTTTCCCATTCCCCTTAAAGATGAAACAACAAACACTGTCTCCTCTACCAACATTTTAAGTCCAGGTTCAATTTCAATAAGACCATCAATTTGATTGATAACAAATCATTACAGAACAGTTCCAATAGATCTAAACTGGTCTTGATGTTAATGACTTATAATCACCTTTATGTTAGGTGCTAAAGCTTTATTATCCTTAAATATAACTGGCATAGTGGACCATTAAACGCGGAAGTGATCTGAGATATTGATTGGGGTGGCAGCCAAAATTTTAAGGTGCCCGAATTACTTTTTGTAACGTTTTTGCACTGAACGCTCATGTAATTTTTTTAAATAAATTTTTATTTTTATTTTCCATGGGAGCTGCCTCTCTTTCCCCAGCGCTTTTGTCATCCTTTAGGCATACACACCACCTCTCTCGACTAGTATAAATGTCCCTGCTAACTGTGAGGAGCTCAGAGCAGCAGCTTTGGTAAGGAGAGGAAGAGGCCAGCAGCATGACCCCTGTGGGCGGAGGACCGAGCCTCCGGTACCCCGCGTCTCCCAGCCTGGCATCCCGAGGCGCGGGTCCGCCCGCGGCGCAGCTGGCAGCGAGGCCGCAGCTCGGCGCCGCGCGTCCTGCTCGGAAAGTGCTGTGGACTCGGTGACCCACTTCCAACGCTGGGCCGAGGCCGCCACGCGCAAGGGCATTTTCTCTCCCCGGCTCCCGCTGGAGCCCCCATCCTGCCTTTGGGGTATCTTCGCGGGTCACTCGTGAGTCCTCAGACGGGGGCGTCGGGGCGTGTGTC